ATCACTGCTGTGCCGTGCCACAAAATTTGTGTCGTGCGATGAATCAATGACCGACCAGCGATCATCGGTGAGTAAATAACCCAGCCGGTAAATGGCCATGCAAATGAGCGAATTAGTGCGCACCGATAAGTGACGTGGTAAATAGGTACCATTAGGCAATAATGAAGTCCAGAGGCAGATGATGACTTAAAGGCGTACATTTTGCATACATACGCATATTATTTATATATATATATATATATATATATATATATATATATATATATATATATGCATATATGATCCCAATTCTCCTCCAGTGTATAATCAGCTGACAAGCTCATGGCAACGGGGAACAGTTATGAAAAAGTGTACGATTTATCTCTCTGGCGCATCAAGCTTCAACAGTGGTAAGACCTTGGATGTCAGCGCTCTGAGAGCTTCCCAATTACCTCTCTAAAAGCAGCATGAGGCAGTGTTCAGTTCCCTTCCCGGGCCTTCCGTTTCGCCGACCCTGGCGACGCGCCTGTCAGCCGTCGTTTCTCCGGAGCGGGGGGGGGGGGCTTGTTTGCGTTGCTCGCGGCCTCCCCACGTCGCTTCCGCGCCGCCGTTGTTGATCGCGTCGACGCCGCTGGCTCACGTCGGCACCGACGCCGGCTGATCTCCCGACTTTGGGGGACAGGCCGCGGAGGAGGCGTGAAATTGGGCGGTGGCCGCGCCCACGGCGGCGACTTTGTTGTCGGCTGTCGCTGATTGCTGCGGGAAGGAGCAGCTGCGTCTCCGGTGGTTTGGAGTGGACGCTCGCTCCCCAGCGCCCGCTGAGATGTCAGTCATGTTGTTTTAAGCATCCTATCTTGGAAAATAGGGTTAGCATGCGAAATGGCGTGTGTGCACTACGCCATTTATAATTACGTGCAAAATTGATGTATGAATTAAAAATTACGCCCGTATAAGTTACGCAATTACGTATTACACAATTACGCGCATCATGCACTTAAGTCGTTTCAGCGCACATTTCCAGTGCGGCGTGGCCTAGACGTAGGTGCCTTTAATCTCCGATGGATTTCCTCTCTTCGGTGTCCCGCTTCGCTGGGATTCGCGATGTGGCGGATAAAATGCGTCTCGAAGCGAAGAGGGCTGGAAGAATGTCGTGGTATGGATCCGGGATTCCTGATGTGTTCGAGGATATCTGACCATGGCTGTAACTGCAACGGCTACTAGCATCGCAATTAATGCCTGCTATAGCGAATGCAGAAAAAAAGCATACGATCAGCCTCGAACCCGCGACTCTGCGCTCGCGAGCCGCACGCCGGCAGTGAGGCATCCGTGCAAGCCCCAGAGCGACGGCGGGCTGGAGTCCGCTGCTCGGTGGGGCGGCTCGGAATGTGCTACGCCCCTGTGTTGGGCAGCGCGTCAGGGTCGTATCTATGTCACCGACTGTCGGCTCGTTCCGACGCGCTGGGGGCCAGGGGGGAGCCGGGTGACTGAGGTCACTGATCGTGTCAGGAGGGGAGTCGAGTCACCGAGAACACTGGCCTTATCAGGAAGGAAGTCGGGTGACCAACGCCACTGATCGCGTCACGCTGCTGAATGTGTTACTCGGGCTCGATCGCGATGTTGGCCATCTGAGTGCAGCTGGTCACTCGCTGACCTGAGCCGGATCTGCTGACCACGTGTGATGGATGAAGGCCAGCGGGGCGCTTGACGGCCGGATCTGCTGACCACGTGTGATGGATGAAGGCCAGCGGGGCGCTTGACGGCCGGATCTGTTGACCACGTGTGATGGATGAAGGCCAGCGGGGCGCTTGACGGCCGGATCTGCTGACCACGTGTGATGGATGAGGGCCAGCGGGGCCCTCGACGGCCGGATCTGCTGACCACGTGTGATGGATGAAGGCCAGCGGGGCGCTTGACGGCCGGACCTGCTGACCACGTGTGATGGATGAAGGCCAGCGGGGCCCTCGACGGCCGGATCTGCTGACCATGTGTGATGGATGAAGGCCAGCGGGGCGCTTGACGGCCGGACCTGCTGACCACGTGTGATGGATGAAGGCCAGCGGGGCGCTTGACGGCCGGATCTGTTGACCACATGTGATGGATGAAGGCCAGCGGGGTGCTTGACGGCCGGATCTGCTGACCACGTGTGATGGATGAAGGCCAGCGGGGCGCTTGACGGCCAAATTTGTGGATGAGTTTCTGCGATTGAATAACCTGACTGGGGTGGCGGCCGTTGAATAACGTACACGGTCGCATTGCTACGCATAATTAACGCGGTCGCCGTTTGCTGCGCCGCGCGAATCGTTGTCAGACTCACCTTTGACTCTCACGAAATATTCTGACAAGTCTGTGAGTTGAACCCACCGACCCAATCCGGCGACCCGGTCCGGAGGGCTCCGGAGGGCCGACCCGGTCCGGAGGGCTCCGGAGGGCAGACCCGGTCCGGAGGGCTCCGGAGGGCCGGCCCGGTCCGGAGGGCTCCGCAGGCCCGACCCGGTCCGGAGGGCTCCGGAGGGCCGGCCCGGTCCGGAGGGCTCCGCAGGCCCGACCCGGTCCGGAGGGCTCCGGAGGGCCGACCCGGTCCGGAGGGCTCCGGAGGTCCGACCCGGTCCGGAGGGCACCGAAGGTCTGACCCGGTCCGGAGGGCTCCGGTCCGAAGGTCTGACCCGGTCCGGAGGGCTCCCGAGGGCCGGCCCGGTCCGATGACAGTTCGTCTCCGCCACGTCACACGGTTACGGTCATACGGTCACGGTCACACGGTCGAGTTTGTCGATCGGATTGGGTGACGGAATCGCCTGGCCCGTGGAATCGCCGATCGGACGACGGAATCGCCAGTGGTCCACTCCGACGTCCGGTTCCGACGTGGTGTTCTGACCCTCACGCCCAGTCCGATTCCGACGTATGATTCTGATTCCGACGCCCGATTCCGACCCCGTTGTTTGGTTCTGATTGCGACGTCCTATTCTGTGCCCGACGACCGATTCTGATTTACACGTCCGATTCCGATTTAATGCGTACTGCGGCACTTGAGCCGCGCCTTCTGAGAAGGAGCGTCCCCAGAGACGAGTGGCCCAGTTCGTCGGCGACCCCGGCCGGTACAGCGTCCTCTCCTGACCTCTGCCCGATTGTGCGCGAACAGAGGCGTATGCCCGATTCGCTGGCGGGGCGGGAGTGGAGTAGGCGTAAGAATGCTGCTAGATGTGATTTTTCCCCTGCTTGAGTCCGAGATCCAGACTTCAGTCTAGAGCTTGTTAGGTGTTTTGAAAGACCGTAATGGTACGCGTCCCATGCGACCCAGCAGCACGCGCCCCATGAGACCCAGCAGCATGCGTCCCATGCGACCCAGCAGCACGCGCCCCATGAGACCCAGCAGCACGCGCCCCATGGGACCCAGCAGCACGCGCCCCATGGGACCCAGCAGCACGCGTCCCATCGCTCCCCATGGGACCGCTCGCTCAATGTGCCGCCGCGCCGGGATAACTTCGGGCTCGAGCGTTCGGCCGCGTCGAAGTGACGCAAAGTCAAGCCCGCCGGGACCCAAGTCGAGTCGAACGGAAAGCGTTGCCATCGCCTCCGGGAAGTGGGGTGGCGCGGGGTCACGACCTCGTGACCTATGCGGTAATTGCGGCTCGGGCGCGGCGGTCGACGCCGTTTGGCAATCATATGTCGGAATTAACACGGTCGTGACCGGCCAGCTGGTCTGGGAAGAGGGCGATTAGTACGGGAGGCGGCGCACACCTAACTTGCCGGATGAGGATGAGGCTGGGCTGAGAGCGCTGCATTTTGACCTTTGCCGGCTGCCGACGTGTGGCAGCACAGCTGCCTTGCGCGTCTCCTCCTGGCGGCTGGCGTGTGGTTTCGGGCGGCATCGGTCGGGATTTGCATCGCTGGTGACGAATTATGAGGATCCTGTTCTTAGGCGCCTGAAATTTCCCAGCGTTCTGTACCGAACATGCTACTGTTTTCGGAACTACTGCGGAATCTGTTGCATCCGCCCACTGTACTCGGGTAGAATTAATTCTGTCCCATGCAGGTAGTTTGAAGTTATTATCATCCACCAGTATTTGAAACTACGCCCCATCGCGCCGTGCCCGGATATAAGTCCTGCCCCTCTCACTGAACCTGGGTCTAAGTCCTGTCCCTCTCACTGAACCTGGACCTTAGTCCCGTCTTTCCCCCGCGCCCGTGTGAACGCACACTCCCCGCTCCACCTACCCCTGTAAAAGTATTTTCCCTGTTCCACCGTCCCTGGATCTAAATCCCGTCCCACCCCGCTGGATCTAGGTCCCGCCCCCGTTTCGCTGTATCTGGGCGACCTCCCCCGCCGCCGCCGGTGCCGCCCGCCGCCGGCGGCTATGAATAGGTCGGCTGGTGACCGCGACCGGCCGACGGCCGCCCGGCACACACGCCCCCTCCCACGAGGCTGCGGCTGCCGGACCGCCGCCGGCGCAGGCGAGGGAGGGGCGAGCGCCCGGCACACCCGCCCCCTCCCACGAGGCTGCGGCTGCCGGGCCGCCGCCGGCGCAGGCGAGGGAGGGAGGGTGCAGGCGAGGGGGAGAGGGCGCGGGCGAGGGAGGGGCGAGCGCCCGGTGTGACGAGCTTGGGCGAGAACGCTTTGTGAAGGATGTGGTGGTTTGGACTGCGGGGAAAGGTGGCGGTGACGGCGTAGGCCGTTTGGTGATGGTTCGGGTGTACGCAGGATGCCTCGCGGGGCCGGGAGTTCAGATCTGGGGCAGTCGTCGGTCTGCGGAGAATGCAGCGGTCAGGTGTTGCCGATCCAACACGTTTGGACACGTTTCCGCTAATCTGCGAGCTGATTCTTGGTGTTCAATTTCAGCTGCCCCCCTCCCCCCCTCCCCCTCTATTCCTTGCGTTTGCTCTCTGAGCGTTCGTTTAAGCCTGAGCTCTCGTCTGAACTATTTCGTCAAGTTTAAGCCACAGGCTTTTCTGCACGGTTTTCTGTGCGTCTCACCCCACGTTTTCCTGTGAAGATGTGTCTGACCTGACCTCCGTGTTTGCCGCAGGCGTTCCGTTCCCGCCCAGCCACAAGCTGACATGTGCGGAGGTGTTCGATCCGCGCTCGGGCAAGCCACGGCCCGAGGTGCTGAAGCAGCACTTCATTCTGGAGGGCCGCATCGAGGAGGCGGCCGCATTACGGATCATCAACAACGGCGCCACCCTGCTGCGCTCGGAGAAGACCATGATCGACATCGAGGCGCCCGTCACGGGTAGGTCGCGCGTCAGGTCACCGGTTGGGTCATGGGTCAGGTCACCGGTCAGATCAAGGATCAGGTCACCGGTCAGGTCACGGTTCGGGTCCGAGCACGGGTCAGGCATGGTGTGGGTCTGGTCACGGCTCTTAGTGGAGGTCACAGATCGGATGACTGGTGAGGTCACGGGTCAGGCGGAGGGGGAGGTAAGTCGTCCCTCACACAGGGTAGCAAAGTTTGCCCGGGTCGAATTTCCAGGATCCAGTGCGATGTAGTCAACTGAGGTGCAATCCAGTCTGCTCGTGCGTCAGTCTTTTTGTGCGCTCCGATCCGGTGCAGTTTACCGCAGAAGTGTTTCCCTGAGTTATGAACACTATTGGGGATAGATTTCCTTCAAACAAGCGGGTTGTGCTGTTTCACTGCCTGACGTTATCCTGATGCTCCCCGTGGGAACGCTCTCCCCTGTCCCTCCTCTCCCCCCCCCCCCCCTCCACTGCCTGTTGCAGAGCTGCCGTCTCTGTCCCAGATAAGAGTTCCTTGTACGCCCCGTTGTTGACTGCATCAACCTGCCACCCGCTCTCCTGAGGAAAGATAGGCCGCGTCCGGGGCTTAAAGCGTGATCTGCCGCGCGCACGTCACGCATCTCCACGCACCCTGGAGGGGAGGCGGGGTCTCATCACCATCCCGCTCCCACGCCCATCCCTTACCTCTCCTGCGGCTCCAGTGACGGTCTGTGTGGTCGTCCGTCCCCCCCCCCCTCCCCCCGCCCCCGCTGTCCCGGCTTCGACCACCTGTATAGATCGCCGCCGAAATAGGCTCGTGTCGCGGAGGCGCCCGGGGCACGCGTGGTCGCACGGGCGGATCCAGCGCGGGAGGCGCGACCGACGACCGCCGGAGTCCATGCCGAAACGGAACCTTTCCCGCTCTCCTTCTCTGTCTCGTTCGCTGCGCTTGGTTTGTGGATTGTTGCCCGGCTCTTGGTGCTCCTCTGCCCTCATCTCCTAAGACACACACAGTTATCCCTCATTCGGATGAAAACGACAGCTTCCTCGCGTTGTCTGCTTCCTTACCGTGACTGGCCTGGCTGAAGAGGCGGCGTTCGGGCCTCCCCGGCAGTTGTCGCTGGATCCGCGCCTGCGCGTCGGCGCCCGACTCAGCCGCTGGCCACTTCGGTCCGGCGCGCGGTATTTCGAGATGGCGCGACGTGTGCCCAGGAACGCGGCGCGCGCGACAAATTAACAAATTAATCGGCGGCGCCCGGGGCACGGTCTGCGTCTGCGGGGGAGGTGCGGCTCTGTTCGTGATGGGTCGGGGTGGTGTGCGTGGTTCTGGACGGTAGTGGTGGAGGCTGCCGATCCCCAGGGTGGGAGGGAGGGGGGGGCTGAGCGGGGAGGGATGGGATGCAGCCCACTAGGGGGAGCGGGGAGCAGTGGAGTGAGGTCGTGTCGCCGTGGCGGGTGTGTACCGCGCAAGGGAACAGGGAAAAGAGGCGCGAAGTTGAAGCGGGCTCCCTTGAACCCGCGCCAATTTATGTTGGCAACCGTGGTATGGACCGGCCTGGGCTGATCCAAACAGTTGTGATTTTCCATTCCCCCTGGGGGCACGACTTTGGCAATGCTTTTCTCGGATCTCTCCGTTTGAAAATCATGCGCTGTGAACTCATTTCACCGTGTTCATGGCGATCGGTGCCGCAATTGACGCACGTAGTTCAGACCTCGGGGGCTGTGGACGCACAGACTGCAAATCTAGGGCATTGGTGACAGCTGTTGTAAAATGACATCCCTTGTGACCTTCTACATTTTGTAAGATTTTGAGAGATCTGATGTCCCATGTCTTGACTTGTTGTGATATCTCTTGGTGCTGTTTCGCTGCTGTTGTGTGAGCGTGTTCACGTTGCGCCATGACCAATTCCGGACCTCTACAACTCGAGTCAGTAGATAGTTGTCGCAGTTGGTTTTGATGTATTGAATGCGTGGATGTACTGATGCATGGATGCATGGATGCATTGACGCATTGAGTAGAAAGTTCGAAATGAAATTGAACGGAAGATCGATCTGGAAATGTAAAATGGAAATCTGCGTGCATAACTTGTCCGAATGAACGATCCTTGGCGCACGTGGCGCCGTCTGGTGCTTCGGAGGCACCGTCAGTGCGTCCAGTGGTTCTAGCTCTCTGAAGGCCGCACAACAGGGCCAACGATAAGGTCTCTCCGGCCGTGCGCGGTCTGCTCGGTCGCTGGCAGCCTCCGAGAGTTGAGTCGTCCAGGGAATAGGCGGCTTTCGCCGAGTGCCAAGGTCACTCAGTTGAACTTTTTCGAAACAGGACCAGAGAGACATTAAGCAAACCCTTGGTTGTTTTGTCCCATCGTAGCCGTTTGTTATGACGTTTAATAAACGGCTACGTTGTATGACGTTTATGATGTTTAGTATGCTCCTGTTGCATCCGTAAGCGGCCGTGGAACGTTGAAACCTCATTGACCTCACCAGACATATGACCTTATGGACCTCACCAGACATATGACCTTATGGACCTCACCAGCCAAACGATCTCATTGACCTCACCAGACATATGACCTTATGGACCTTACCAGACATATGACCTTATGGACCTCACCAGGCATATGACCTTATGGACCTCACCAGCCAAATGATCTCATTGACCTCACCAGACATATGACCTTATGGACCTCACCAGACATATGACCTCACTAACTTCGTCAGACAGGTGACCCCATTGACCTGACCGGACCCTATGAGCGGGCGCCTCCGGGCCCGCTCATAGGTGGCGCTGTGAACTCATGGTGGCGGTCTGGAGCGGGCCGCCGTGTCCGCCTCTGACCTCCTTCTCTGCCGGCAGTGTGCGGGGACATCCATGGTCAGTTCTATGACCTGATGAAGCTGTTTGAGGTGGGCGGCCCGCCGTCTAGCACAAAATACCTGTTCCTCGGCGACTACGTCGATAGAGGATACTTTAGTATAGAGGTGAGTGATACTTGAGTGTAGAGGATATTTTAGTAAAGAGGTGAGTGGCGACGTGGTGGGTGGGGTGGGTGGGGGGGGGGGGGAGGAGGGGGCATGCCAGCCGCGGAGGCGTGGACTGCGCCACGGGTCTCAGCTGTGGAGGAAGTGTCAGGCAGTGAAATTACTTTAGACGCTTTCGGCGGCGATGCCCATAGGCGTTATGTAATGCACTGTATTGCTTGATGTTTACGAAGTTCCGCACAGCTGGACAACTTGTCCCTCCTTCCATGGGACCGCGGACGGAGGGTAGATCCTTGGATAGATGCTTTCATAAATCGTTGGATATATCCTGGAATCCATTTTAATGGCTTTGTGACAGAACACGTCAGGACAAAGTTGGCATAAGACTACACGTAGCAAGGTGCGCTTTCGTCCATTGTTTGAGAGGAATCATGATATGCATGCCGATTTACCCTTTTTTAAACGTGGATTTTGCTTATTTATGTTCAGATAGCTTGTGCTACGTGTGTTTTATGGTAACCGCGCACGCAATCTGGTACAAAACTGTAAATATGGTAAAAAAAACTGTAAATCTGGTACAAAATTAGTCTTTTGGGACGTCCAGCGTGCCGTCAAGGATAGCGTATCACGCGCGTGTGGCTCGGCTCAAACAGACAGCCGACAGGGGAACGTGCGCATTTTATGCAAAGGTTGCGGTGCAGGCACAAAGCTACTGTTGGGGTCACCAGGTCATGTCGGCGGCCGTGACCTCGTTGCCGCCGACGAGGGGGTGGGGTGGGGATTGGAACCGACAGGTGCGCGCCTCAGCTGTGGTCGGGCCCGCCGCAGGGCCACCGCTGCACCTGTGACTGAGAGGTGTGTTGAGGGCGATACTGGTCATGTCCACGGTCAGAGGCGGATGCAGGAGGACGTCGTGGGGGTGCGGCGTTCACGTCGTTGTCACGACCTAGCGCATCTCGACCGACGCGAGTATCACGATGCCCATATCTCTATGCGTCGTCACCAATGTGTCGAGGGTAGCCGCCGTGGGGGTTACCCCAGCGAGTGAATTCTGCCTCCCCGCTTGATGCGACCCTACCGTCCCCCTGGGCTAGCTCCTGTCAGCGACGATGGTGCCATGTCCGCGCAGCGACGCGACCTCTGACCGCGCGTCTCTGTGGTGACCGCGCGTCTCTGGCGTCAGCGCAGCTGGCGGTGAAAATCTCCGGGTCATCGCCGCTGAGACAAGCGCGAAAGAGTGAGACGTCTGGCCGGTTGAAGCTCGTCGCGAAACAGAGGGCAGGACTCGGTCGGCCAGAGCTCCGCCTCGTGCCCTCGTACCCTCATGCCGCGAAATTGATGCCGTTTTCGGGCGACTGTCTCCGGCTGTTGGGGTTTGGGTGGCTGCGAGCGCTCGGCGACGAAGCGTTGGGTGGGGACAGGCCGAGAAGGTCGTCGGAACGAAGTGTGAGGCGGCCGGTGGGTGAGACACGAGGGGTTAGAGGGTGGGTTCGTGGTGCGTAGGGATGGGGTGGAGTGTGGCTTCGCGTCTTCTCGATCGCGCTATGAAATCGTATATAGATATGAGAGAGATATGATACGATATATGATATTATATATAATATGATATTTTGATATGATATATATCGTATGTATTTATATATATGGTATATATAATGTGTAATATATATATATATATATATATATATATATATATATATATATATATGAGATATGACATCCTACGAGACGGCCTGGGCTGTTAGATTTGGGGCCAGGGGTACTAATTACTTGCATGTTACCACTTCGCTCTGTTCTGTTCTGTTCGGTAATCTCTACAATCGTAGCCGGCGCCGCCTTCACTGTCGTTTTAAAGTCGGCGACACATACCTAATAGGGGAGGGAGGAGAGTTGACGCCACCTTTGCCTCGGGCTGCGACACAGGCCGCGATCTGAAGGCCTCTGAGCCTCTGAGCCAATCTCTGAGCCTCTGAACCTCTGAACCTGTGAGCCTCTGAGCCTCTGAGCCAATCCATTAGCCCATGAGCCAATCTCTGAGCCTCTCACCCAATCTCTGAGCCAGCATTGAGCCAGCCTCCTGCGCTTCCTACGCGCACAGGCGCGTACACCTCCATCCAGTTCCCTGTCGCGTTACGCATGTGCACACGGAAGAGATGGGATGGGCAGGGAGGTGCGGGAAAGGCGGAAGGAAGCCGAGGCCGTGCTGGTGCGAAGATCGAAACGCGTCGTGAGCGACGGGAGCGAGGGCCGTCGCATTGTTTGAATACGAACACCGCCAACCACGACCGTTGCTTTTTGCCTTGGGACGCGAGTCGGCGATGCGCAGTTCAGTGTTCGATTCTTAAAGCCATTTAAGGCCGCCGAGCGTGTTCCGGAGCAGCCAGAATGCTGGCAAACTCGCCGCCAAACACCACATCGACGCGTCGCCGACGTCACCGCTCCCCTGCCGGGGGATGGCACGCTCTAGGGTCGCCATGGCAACGACTGGGTCAATCCAGCTGATCGCCCCCACTGAACGCGAGCGAACCGTGTGTGGCTGAGCGAGCCGCTGCTGGTGGGGGCGACCCGACGGAGCGGAACGCGTGTGGGGATTGCCGGCTCGCGATGGCGCCAGGTCGGCGCTGCGGAGAGGGAATGGCTGGTGGAGGGCGCCGGTGTATTGCTGTGGTCGGGTCAGGGGCGTGTGCTGGATTTCGCAGTTAAGAGGCGGGGGGGGGGGGGGGGGCGGAAAGACTCAAAAGGTTTCTCTGAAGACTGAAGTAGGCGCGTCGCAGGCTTTCAGAGTCAGTGGTGTGGTGCAAAACATAGCATGTTAACATGAACATAAAATAACATAACCTAACATAAACATAAAACAGAGCATATTTCTCGATCTTTTTTTGCGTGTCTGTCTCGAGTTTTTAAGCTATTATATGTATATATATATATATATATATATATATATATATATATATATTCAGTTATTTATTAATGCATGCCATAAGTTTGATGACGGATAGGACGTGTGCTCCCTTCCCGCCCCTTCCCGCCCCTTCCCCTCCTCTGGGCACTGCTCGAATACGTCCTTGAGTCTGATGTCTGCGGACTTAAGTGCACGTTCAGATACGCTGTCGCTGTCAAGCTGGCCTCCTTCCACTGTGTTATTGCTGCGGCGGTGGGGCCGCGTCCTGTTAACTTTGTGGCATAAGCAGCCCGCCAGGCTGTCATCCTGATGATAAATAATCTGTGGTGTCCAGACAAATGTCGCCGCCCGGCTCCAAACAGAGCCGGCGCCCGCCGGCTCCTCCGCGGGAACGCCTGATGGGTAGGCTGCGCCGCGCGCTTGGCGGTGTTGCGGCACAGTATACCGGCGAGCGCGTCGTGGTGCCGGGAGCTTCCCATCCGTTTAGTGCATGCCACGTTGTATGTTTGGCATGATATAAAAACGGTGCGATTGTTCGCAGTTGTCACGTGATAGTGTATAGGATAGTACTCATTGGAATGCGTCAGTTTTGGGTTGTCAACAACAGACGTGAGCGGGCTGTTGGGTGAGGGGCAAGGGTGACTGTTTCCGTTTCGGACCCAGGCTGGGATGTTTCCGTTTCGAGCACATGCTCGCGTGTTGCGCGAGCTATGCTGAGTGGAGGTCGCTTAATTGCTCTGGGGAGTGGTTCCGGGCTGCCCCTGTGTTCTGCTTTACGGTCAACAGCACTTTGTGTGTCGCTGGCGGCCGGGAACGTTTCAGCCTCATTTCTCGCCGGTTACCGGCGCGGTTTGTGAGGTCGGGTGACAAATGGCACCCATTCACGAGTGTGGCGTGTCATTTGTGTTATTGCTGGACCCGAACTACTTCCGACCGCGGCTTCTTTTGATGCAGCCGAACCGGCGCCCAGCATGGTCACGCGAAAGCCCGTTCAGTATTCATCAGCGCCGCGCGCGAGCTATTTGCGTAGTGTCCGAGGGGTCACGAGTGGCCGCGGATGCATTCGGAAAGGATCTCAGCGATGCATTTTTGGATTGATGCTGTGATTGAGTTAAAAGCGTTTGAAAATTTTGGTTTGTTTTTGGTGCAATGTCGAGCGAATTTTCACGGCTTTTTGAGAGCGTCACACTCTGTATTGCATCGCCCCTCGTGGGCACTCGGCAAACGCCACACAAAGGACGGACTAGTGTTTGCGCATGCCAGAAAATGGCGTCTGTTATCGCGCTCCCTCGTGCGGAGCGAGGCGTTTGAATGTCAGGTGAGGGGGTTTGGATTGGTCGTAATGTCTGCAACATTGTTGGGAAATGGAAATGCGCCGTGAAAGGGACGCGGCGGAGCATCGACTGAGGCCGCGCCTCCAGTCCCCAACATTGTTGGGGTATGGAAATGCGTCGTGAAAGGGACGCGGCGGAGCATCGACTCAGGCCGCGCCGCCATGAATGGAGAAATTGGGCTTTGCACTTTAAGCTCCCCTAAATCGGAGGCAATCGTAAGCGTATTTATGGCGGCTGGGGAGTGGTTATGCCTCCGACTTGTTAACCCCCTCCCGTAACCGCTTCCCCCTCCCCGCCTTCCCACGTGCCCACGCGTTGCCGGGTTCTCTGTTGTGATTTGTGGCGTGGAGGTGGTCAGCGGCGGCCTCGCAAGGCTGTCGCTGCTGGCGCCGCCTTTCTGTTGTGGCAGCAAAGCGTTTTGCCTGGTGAAGGTGGAAGCCGTGGGAGGGTTAGGGGGCAGCTCGATTTGTGCTTGGCCGCTTCCCGTACTGCGTCGTGCGGTTAGTGCTAGATTTGGACATGGTTGAGTGGCATGTATTGACGCTTTCAAGTAGAAGTGGGGGGAGGGAAATTCCGGCTACGCGTTGCAGAATCGCGCGCCAAGGGCAGCTATCGCTGCGAACTTCCGATGTGTGCTCCATACTGCCGGCACTAACAGCAAAACATGGACGACGCTGTTTTTGCCTGTTTTGGCGCCGTTCGGCAGTGTGCTATTAACGTCAATTTCACGTATGAATGTATGTATTTCACGTGTGTGGTATGAACGTAATGTGTTGGCCTGCATGGCGTGGGCGTCATTTGTATCGACTTCACGTGACATGTGTGAAGATCAGTGGCCACTCAACGGCAAACGTAGTGCGTCAACTACCACGAACCGTGTCACTGAATAACATTGAACAATTTTTATTGAACGGAATCGTGTCACAGCCACGCGGCGGTGCCGTGCTGCCGCCATTCAATCGTGTTATTCCTTTCCGTTATGTGCCGCCGCTTGTGCAGCTCGTTGTTTTACGTGCCACCGCTTGTGCAGCTCGTTGCGTTACGTGCCACCGCTTGTGCAGCTTGTTCCGGTACGTGCCACCGCTTGTGCAACGCTTTCCGTTATGAGCCACCGCTTGTGCAGCTTTTTCCGTTACGTGCCACCGCTTGTGTAGCTGTTTCCGTTACGTGCCACCGCTTGTGCAGCTCTTTCCGTTAGCCATCGCCTGTGCAGCTCCTTCCGTTACGTGTCAATGCTTGTGCAGCTGTGCCACACAGCACCGCTGCGTGAAGGTCGCGCGCTTTTCTTCTTCTCAGTGCCCCTGGACGTCGGATTGCACAGCGTCGTGCACGTGTAAAGCGCATGAGCACCGACCCGGATGCCACTGCACGGCAGTTGCCGCATGAATCAGTAGAACACCTGTGTGCTGGCGGACATTCCATGCGATGGAATGACTCGTGCAAAGGCGGCCTTGACACCCATTCCATGCGAGGAAAAACGTGACGCGGCCAGAAATGTTCGCGCCGCAGAACGTTAGTTTCGGATCCTATTACCCCGTCTTCCCCGGATCCTTGGCTGGCTGTCGATGACCTCCGCGACAGCGCCCGGCCATTTCGCCAGCGCGCTGCGGCGGCGGGTGTGGGGCGTGGGTCACGCCACCACGGACGTGGGCGTGGGTCACGCTACAGCGGATCACTAACCCAGCGCTCCTCTTTTGCAGTGTGTGTTGTACCTGTGGACGTTGAAGATAAACCACCCCACCACTCTGTTTCTGCTGCGCGGCAACCACGAGTGTCGCCATCTGACCGAGTACTTCACATTTAAGCAAGAGTGTAAGTGCACTCCGATAAAGGAGTAACGTCCCTGTTGCGAGATAGGGTCCGACAACATCTGACGGAACACTTCTCGTGTCAGCAAGGGTAGGAACGCCGCTTTATGGGAGGGCCGTCTCGTTTGTGAGATATGTTTTGACAACATTTGACGAAGTATTTCACGTTTAAGCAAGAGTGTAAGTGCACTCTTGTCAGGGAGTAATATCCATGTAGCGAGGTACGTTGTGATAACGTCTTACAAAGCACTTATCATGTTTGGCGAGAGTGCACGTATTCTGCTATATGGTAGGGCCACCTGTTTCGCGAGCTATGCTCTGAGAGCATCTGCCGAAGTACTTCACATTCAATTTGAAGCTTACTCTGGCATACGGGGCGACGCCTCTGTTGCGAGTAATGGTGCTTTGTGACTGTGTCTTTCCTGGAAGCCGTATGACGTAACGTCTACCATAAAGCAAAAGAGGATGAAGATGAAAGAAACTGAGAAGAACGCGTGCCTTTCGGAAAACTACATATTTGTACTAGATTACGCGTCAGAGGCTGTACCTCTTTGTTGTGCCGTCTCTCGGGTTAACACACTTCAGCGGTGTTTAAGCTATGCCTGTTTGCGATAGTTGTCTTTCGTTATAATGACGTCCCATCAGATGTCTGTCTTCAGAGATACTCGGACACATCCAAAGCCTGCGGCTTGTCGATGGGGCGGCAGAGACTGACCAGACCATACCAGACTAATGAGACTGGGTTGATCAGGCCATACTGACCAGACCAGACCTGACCAGACCAGACCAGACCAGACCAGACCATACCAGACTGAGCAAATCAGACTGACCAGACCAGACTGACCAGACCAGAACAGACTGGCCATACTGACAAGACCAGACTGACCATTTTCTGCAGCTTTTTTTGCCCGGCTTGACTCATTTCTGTTCCACTACTAGCTTTTCACTCCCAAACCAGAACCAGAGCTACGGGATTGGATTCCCCGCAGTACCCGCCGTTCCTGGCAGGGTGAGAGGCATGCGACGCCATGTGACCCCAGCAGCTGAGCGCGTCTTAAACCCGCAGCGATACAGAAACGCTTCAGGCGTGTTTTTCAATTTGTAACACCAAGAAAACAGTGTCGGTGTTTTTTGCGTACGTTCGGAACCAAAAACGAACGTATTTTTGAGCCGGCCTGCCCGCGGTGTTGGGGAGTGGCATGACCCCTCCCTCCCCTCCCCGCCTTGCGCCTGACCTCTAGCCGTGTCGTGCGCACCAGCGGGGGCGGGGGGTCCGGCGTCAGCTGGCCGCCGTGTGTTCAGAGGCCGCGGCGGCGCCTGTCTCTGGCGCAGCGCCAACCACCTGTTGCCCCGGGTCACCGCTAGGGGTGGGCGGATAATGTTTCGCCGATATTGCCGATGTGGCAGGCGGACGTGGGGTCGAGGGCTCGGAGGATTGGCGCGAGAGAACGGGTGACGCGTCGGGCATCAGCGCTGGCTTTGTAGAGGGCGTGGATTCGTGTGTTCCATGATCGCGAAGGTGAGGTTTGCCGTTTGGTTGGTACAGGACGAATGGCTATGTAGACCGTTGGTCGTCTGGGCAGTGGCTTTGGTTTTCACAGCGGGAATTTGCGACCAATGATGGACAAAGCCGAGGCGCGAAATGACCACCGCGTTCGGCGCGCCCGAAAACCCCTATAAACAACAGATCTGGACTAGCGTCAGAGCTATGTCTGCGTTCGAGGGCGGCCCTCACTGCCGCTGTAAGGCCCTTGTCTCCGCGGTGAGTTTGGGCCCGGGGTGGACACATGATTGCGGCGTTACGGACCTGGCGCAAAAGAGGCGAACGTCGACGTCGGGGCGCTCGCCGCTCGCCGCGTCCGCTGCCGTCGCATGCGTCGCATCCGTCGCTTTGATGCCGGGCCGCCGTTTACGATGTCGGGCCCAGCCCTCTGCAGCCGCGGGGCGACTAATCCGTCCGGGCGGCGCGGGAGTCGTGCGTGTGCTCGGCGGCGGGAGTGTTTGCTTCGAGCTTCGCCACCGGGCAGCTCTCGAAGCCAGGCGGCGCGAGGCGCTGGCGGCCGCGGTTTTCCGGTGTTTGCCGTCGGCCGGGCTCGGCTTTGCGATGTTTGCGGTCGGCCGGGCTGGAGCAGAAGGCCCGGCTGCCGGTTGCAGGCTCGCCGGTGGCGATTTTGAGTGGTCTGATGTGGTAGCTAGGCCGGAGTACTCTCGTGCGTCATCTGTTTGGGTCGTGTGTGTCGCTGTGCGCTGGGAGAGTCCGCTGCGTTTGGGGCTGCTTGAGTGTTCACGTGGTTCGCAGATTGCTCGAGCGGGCTTGTGTGAGTGTGCGATGTTGCGTGCGATCGGCATATGCTCCTTTTCCGCGCACGCAGTCGTGTAGTCATTAACCCCCCGCCGCCTGCCTTAATGCTATTTTGGAAATGCAACTGGGCTGGGTCAGGTTTGTTGATTCATCATTGACAGCGTACGTCTTGAACCTGGATGGATAAAGCTGCGGGCGGGTCGGCTTGTTAAGTTCAAAGCACGCCGAAAAGGAACGGCAGCGACAAGCTCAATGAACGCGAGCAGGTCTTCTCACATCGCCACGCATCCCGTGCTGTGAATATCGATTTACGAGCTCTCATTCTTGTCAATGGGAAAGACACGGAACTCATTCAACAGGCGGTGGAGGCATCCTCGGGCGCGAACATGCGGAAGTGTCCTTTAAAGCGAGCGGGACCGGGCGGCGTTACAGCCGGCGTGTTGCTGGGATCGGATGTGCAATCGCTGTGACCCGCGCTCCACCCCTCCCCTTCGTCGCGATCGTCATTCATGCACTGTTCATGCTGAATAACGCCGGTCCCTCATGTGCTTATCCACATACATACATACAAAGGGCAATAATCATGCGCACACATACAACATCCGAGGTTGTTGACGTCTCTCCTGTTGGTGGTGACCTGCACCGTAAAGGTTTCGTGCGGAGGGAATCGAACCGGGGCCCTTCGTCTGACGCCGTATCCTGTCGTCAGCTGACGTCCGTGTCGTGCCACCCGCAGGTAAAATGAAGTATACAGAGCGCGTGTACGACGCGTGCATGGAGGCCTTCGACTGCCTGCCTTTGGCGGCGCTGATGAACCAGCAGTTCCTCTGCGTGCACGGCGGCCTCTCGCCAGAGATACACACGTTAGAGGACATACGAAAGGTGAGATTGGCCTGTGCGATGCGATGCGTGGGTCGCGTCATGCGCGGGTCGCGTGCATCGCACACGCCCAGTGTGCGTGCTCTGCGGAGATCAGCGGCTGGCCCAGGCAGGTCAGCTCAAGAGGTGACGGTCGTCTCCGAGGAGCGAAGCCGCCGCTGGTGGCCGGCGGATTTGCGTTGGTTGCGTTGCGTTGCGTTGGACGGGCTAAGGAAGCGGAAGGAGGGAGAGGAAAGGGTAGGCCTTACCTTATGCGTCCTCCAGGCGGTGCCTGGCGGTGTTATCATGTACAGCTAAGTGGCAAAACGGATGGCCCTATGCTTACTCGGCCAAGCTTGATCGTGCGTTTGTCGGAATGTCTTGAGTCTATGAAATGGCTTACATTCACTTATTGTCGTATCTACCCCATTCCTAACTTGGGTCAGCCCTGTCTTAACTGCCTCCTGTACTCCGTCTGCTCTCTTCTCCAGGCGTACTGTCCTCCCCCCCCCCCCCCACCCCCCCCCCCCCCCACCCTCCCCGTTTCTGTACCTGATTGAGCTTAGATCTGTGTTCCCTTTTGCGGCAGCATCCTTTCATGTCGACGTCCCTGCTTTCGGCCCACCGGAGACCTTCCCGACCCTGCCGAATAACGGCCGGATATACGCCGCTTACACTCCTCAGTAGCCGTGCCTGGTCTCCACCCACCTCCCCTGGGCCTCGTCCTCTCCCTCCTCGCCGTACATGGCCTCCACCCAGCTCTCCTGCAGGCCATCTTCTCCGCACTCCGCGTACCCCACTACCTCTTCAGGACCTTGTCTTCTCCCAGCCTCCGTACCGGGCCTCCACCCACCTCCCTGGACCTCATCTTCTCCCTACTCCCGTATCTTACCACCTCCTCTGGACCTCGTCTTCTCCCTAACCCGCACCTGGCCTCCACCCACCTCTCCTGGACCTCATCTTCTACCCGTACCTCACCACCTCCTGTGGACCTCGTTTTCTCCCCCCCCCCCCCCCGTACCTGGCCTTTACACACCTCTTCTGGCCTCATGTTCTCCACACTTCCCATATCTCACCACGTCCTCTGGACCCCGTCTTCTCTCCAACCCCCGTACCTGGCCACCTCCAGCGGACCTCGCCCCCTCCCCTCCCCGCTCCGCGTGCCGGTCAGGCGGCGGCCGGACCGCCGGCGCGCGTCCGCGGTCCAGCCATCGATCGGGACCGTTCGCTGCCGGCCGGCGGCGGGCTCATGGCCTGAGGCCGCGCCGACGCCGGCGGGGCTGGCCGGCGATCAATACGGTGTCCCTGACCCGGCCGGCGGCGGGGCGAGAGGACGGCACGGACGGGGTTGGGGAGGGGGAGAAGGGGACAGGGGAGCCGTGCAGGCTCGGTGAGTAGGGAGTGGGGAGTAGGTGGATCGGGTGCAGGAGGACTGCGAGGGAGGGGTGGAGGGGTGGGAGGGTTTTTGGAGCTGGAGTATGGGGAACCACGCGAACTCGGTAAGTCGGAAGAGAAGAATGGGAATTGGAGGCTGGGAGAATGACTGGAGTACGAAGAGGAATGAAAGAGAATTGACTGTGGCGACAAAGACGAGGCAGGAGGATTGCGGAGGGAACTAGCGAGTTAAGGATGACTGCATGACGTAGATAGAATGTATGAAGAAGGCTGAGGGAGGACTCCAGGGAGTGAGTACGGCTGCAGGGATCTGAGAGAGAGGGGGTGTACCATGTCACACGGCTGACACGGAGCGGTATTTTGCGAAACAGTAAGGACTGAATGCGCGAAATTTCCGAGACCGAACGAAAGTGAAGGAGCGAAAAACGAGAGTGAAACTCAGTCCTGATCTCTCCGATAGCCATGGAAACCAATGTTCCATGCATTGGTCACGATGATTTATGATGCATCGATGTCCGTTGACAAGGACTGTCCTGTCGTCATTAACTCGTCTGCCAGGAGTAGTTGGATCGTCAATCATCGCGATCGCAAATACAAATCGTTGCGCGCAAAACTGCTCTCAAACCATGTTTACCCTCGCTCCCCAGCTGTCGAACGCTCTGCTGAGGTCGTGGTTGTAGTCTCCGCCGCGTTTGTGGGCCACTGGTGCTGGGGCTTGCTTCCCTGTTACCTCCATGTACTGCCGCTCTGCTGTGATGGTTCCGTGGTATTTGATGTATCGACCCTCTCCCCCTCTCTCTCCCTGTCTGGCGATAAGCCACAGGCGCTGGTTTTGTAGTGTTGTCGCTGTTTTTCCGGGCAGCGTCCAAAAATAGCGATGTCTAAAATAGATCACACGCAATCATGCACAACGCTTCCAAAATTTAGCGGCGTATTCTCGCGCTACCAAACGGGACATGTACCAGAATAGAGCAACATTAGCAGCCGTGGCAGTGCGCCACCGGAACTGGCCATCGCCCGTGAAAAACTGACTAAAAGAAGAAGGTAAAGATCAGGTCCAAACCGTACTTCCCACTTGCTGTGTTGGCTGCTGCCGGCAGCGCGCGGCGGGACCGTGGATGAGCCGGCCGTGGGTCTCCGAGCGCCGGCGGCCGAGTCGGTCTTCGCGCCCGCAGCGGTAGGCACTGGGTTCAGGCGCGCCTGCGGAGGTCAGGGGTTCGCGGTCACTTGCAATGCATTGGCGGCGGGCCGGTATTGGATGCGGAGTCGTGTGCCGAAGCGGAGACAGCGATGGTGGTCTGATGGTGTGGACTTGTCCGGTTCGGTCTGGACCTGTCCGGATCGATCCGCATCTGCCTCCTGCGTGCCTCGTCTTGGTGCGTTCGCCGGCCTCACCCTGTTGAACCTCCTAGTTCGAGGCGCGCGTGCTTACCTGTCTGCTCCACGGAGCGCTGTGTTGGTCTCCTGCCCTTTTCTCCTGAGCTTGTCTCTTGGTTCCTGGAGCAACCTGGTCGTGGCGTCTTTCCGTTGTCTGGCCGGTAGACTATTCTCGATTTACGTCTTGTACCATTGTTCCCTTCTTCTTTTTTGATGCTCTCCGTCTTCATTCTTTCATGTTGTGATTGTCCTTTTTGAGATCCTCCTCTCTGCTATTCCCCCCCCCCATCCCTACCGTTCGCATTTTATTATCTTCGTTAAGGATGTTCATCCACGATCCTCCTCTGCGTGACCCTTTGCTGTGACTACCCAGATATCTTTCCCCCTCCCATCCGTCCTTTGGACACCACTTCCGAACCCTATGTGACCGCGCTGGCGCTTGGAGCTATCCAGTGTGATCCCGCTGGTGCCTGGAGCTATCCTATGGGACCCCGCCGGCGCCTGGAGCTATCCAGTGTGATCCCACTGGCGCCTGGAGCTATCCTATGGGACCCCGCCGGCGCCTGGAGCTATCCAATGGGACCCCGCTGGTGTCTGGAGCTATGCAATGTCTTTTCTTCTCTCCTGCACTACTTCTTCCCCATTCCGAGACCCTGTCCGCTCCTGACGGTCTCGCCCCGCCCCTGTCCACGGTTGCCGGTCCCCGGGTCCTCCTTTCCGATGCCGAGGCTCCCTGGCTCCCGAAACCCTCGTCCACCGATTTCCTACCTCCCGCGGCCCGGAGTCCGTGACCGCGCCGAGGGCTTCCTCGTCGTCATGGCGCTTCTCCCCCTCCCCTTCCCCCGCCGTCGCCGTCGCCGCCTGTGCCGTCATGAGACGGCAGCAGAATCGATGCCGACCCGACCCCCGGAAGTCGGCTGTTCCGCCTCTGCCGCGGGCCGCGGGCCGCGACATGGCGGGAAATGGTGGCGGGATCGGTCGCCGGCGTTTGGCGCGAACGGCGAACGACACGCGACGGAAGGTGGCGCCAGTGTGTGGCGGGAACGGCGGGCGTTGTTTGGCGCGAACGGTGAGCGACACGCGACGGAAGGTGGCGCCAGTGTGTGGCGGGAACGGCGGGAACATAGCCGTAGGTTATGCCACTCGTCGACATCTCTCGGCGTTACCTCCGGTCGCGCGCGCCAGCGGACATGGACATGGTATCAGAGGCCCGTGACCCGGGCCGGGGCTTATCACGTGACCCGTGAGAGGCAGAGCCCCAGCCCCGCGGCTCGACGCGCTGAAGGAAAGAGCGCCCATCGGCAGGGGAGCAGGAGGTCGTCGGATGTCGACGGTGAATCGATGAGCTCCGCTTGTCGCTCCGAAGTGATGCAAGAAGTGATAACCTGCGGCGGCGTCAGCGGCCGGAGTAAGGTCGTGGCAACTGCCCCCCCCCCCCTCCCCCTCCTCCATACCCAGGTGGCGGTGCGCTACGCGTGATGCCCTCCGCCTGGCGACGTAGCTCTCTGCCGAGCATTTTAATAAAGCCGTCACTGATAGGCTGTTTGCTCTCCGCAGCGCCCTGCCGTTATGCGTTTCGGAGATGAACTGTACTATCCCGATGGCCTTTTTCATTTGATTGATCCGCGCTTTCCCATAAAGCTTGGTGCTGCGCTGCGTGTCAGATGTGAACCGCACTACTCCGACGCGATTTTAACTTCATCCTCTGGGCCGTTTGCGTTGATTGCCGCACTCTTCCCCGTTTCTCGGCAGGATTGCCCCAAAACCCACATTTTCTCCTCTCCCCCCGCTGTCCGTAACCACGAGTTCGTGCTGGTTTCCGCCTTCTCGTTCTCACCACACGTGTTGGCCCTTTTCCGGCGTCGCCGCCCTTTCCGCGCCATTCCCGGCCGTTTCGCGCGGCTCAGGTCGTGCGTATCGGCTACTACCGCGCGTCGGATGGCCTCCACGTGACTTGCGGACCCGGCACGGCTCTCTTGGTGGTCACCGGCCGCCGAAAGTCGCACGGAAGATGGCCGCCGACTCCGGCCGGCTGCGGCTCTTGCCCGCGCGGGCTGTGGCTTTTGTTCTCCGCGGTTGGTGCCGTGCTGATTGCATCAGGTATTCTCTGGGCGCTCGGGGGAGATGCCTGGTGGTGGGGTGGCGAGTCGGTGAGGGATGAGGCGGGCGGGGGGAGGGAAAATGCACGCCGCCCGGTCAGTGCGAGTGTTGGCTGTCGGAGGTGGGAGGGCGTTTCTATGTGGATGGGTCGTCACTAGGGGGCGGAGAGCGATGCTAGGCTTACGGCACTTTGTTTTTGTTTAAGGTGTTTGTTCCGAAAGGTTTGCGCGAGTGGCTTGCGGCCGGCCCCTGCCGAGTGAGGCTTTGTGTGTTAATTTTGCCCTCACACTAGCTGGTTGTGTGGCTCCGGTTAAACCACCGGCGATTGTTCGCGCAGCATTTTGCCAGGCACGATGGCGGCCGCAGTCAGATCGGACATGTCGGAGGCGACGGTCACCGGACACCTCTAGGCCATCGGACATATTTAGGTCACCGGACACGTATGGATCACCGGACACGTCTTGGTCACCGGACACGTATAGGTCACCGGACATCTCTAGGTCACAAGACACGACTAGGTTACCGGACATGTCTAGGGTGCTGGGCATGTATAGGTCACCGGACATATCTAGGTACCGGACGCGTCTAGGTCACCGGATGCGTATAGGTCACCGGATATCTCTAGGTCACCGGACATGTCTAGGGCACCGGACATGTCGGAGGCGACGTCATCTGGTCTCATGGGTTTATGGGATCACATGTTATGGGCGCCATGGAGCCCGACTAAAGAAAACGCGACAGACAAGATTGCAGCACTTCCGGCGCTGTGGCGTTATCGCCCGGTCAAAAGACGGCCCGCCCAGAACTGCGGATGAATGGGAACGTTACCACAGGGGCGTGTCCAGCGCTTTGCGAATGGAGGCGTGACGTCACGGACTAACTCCCGATGACGGCGCTGAGTTCTGAGGAACGGGGACGACCAGCAGCGCGGTGAAAGGTAGTAGGTAGCTGAACACACGGTATTTCAGATGTGGTTTTAGAGTCCTGAGCGCGCCCCTGTGCCGGCGGCCATCTTTTCTGGACGGGACGCGAGTGAGGGCGGACGTGCCTCCGCCGGAGTGGGCGGACAGGGCGGGCGGGACGGTCGGACGTGGACCGGGGTCCGTCGGGTGTCTGCTCCAGCCATGAGGGCAGGCCCTTGTCTACGCTCCAGCCCTGACGGCAGGCCCTTGTCTACCAGACGTTGGCTCCTTTTTGCCTACGTTCTCCCCAGCTGTGGGTGTGTGGAGGGGGGGGGGGGGGCCGGAGCGTTTCCGTGCGGATCCCCGAAACGTTGAGAACTTTGTCCACATAAGAGACTACGTGTGCCGCGCTCCGCCAAGGAATATCCAACGAATTAGACGAAAGAAAGTACAAAGCCAGGGTCGCTGAATCATAGCTTAGCTGCTTGTTCTCGCCTGGTGATGACAGTGATACGAGATGACTGCGGTGACGGGTCGGCAGAAAGATCGGAAAGGGTTAGAAGAGTGCGAGACAGTCATCGCTGGCATGGAGATGGGCGCTGTCTCGGCTGTGGTTCGCTGGCGAGGCGGGGCTCGTGGTGCCGAGGCGGTGCGAGGGCGTGGTGTGAACGGATACGGGCGTGGCTGAAAGCTGGTGGTGAAGTGTGGTCCGGAGGTGGCCGGTCGTCCTTCTCATGGGCCAGTGTATTGCGCTGTCCTATTTCGACCCGACCCTACCGGACCGGACTCGACGTGACGTCACCGGACCGGACTGGACGTGACGTCACCGGACCGGACTGGATGTGACGTCACCCGACCGGGCTCGACGTGACGTCACCCGATCGGACTCGGCGTGACGTCACTAAATGTGTCATGCGTTCCCTGGCCTGCTCTGACCTGTCCTCAGCTGGTGCGCCCGCTACACGCTGCTGGCGCTCGATCCAGCACGTGAGTTAACCCGATCTGATCGGCGTCTGTCTCTGCAGCTGGACCGCTTCAAGGAGCCGCCGGCGTTCGGTCCCATGTGTGACCTGCTCTGGTCCGACCCGCTGGAGGACTTCGGCAACGAGCGGAACGCGGAACACTTCACCCACAACAGCGTGCGCGGATGCTCCTACTTCTACAGGTGAGGCGGTAGCCGCGTTGCTGCAGTGACGCAGCGTGTCTTTGGTACGAGAGACCCGGGTTGGATTCTTGTCCCGGGAAACTTTTGTCGGCTTGTTTTCCGCTAGGGTGGGGTTATTTCGATAATTCAGGCTGCATGCAACAACATGCATGGCACGGTTGACAACCAAAGTAATAGTTCGGCGTAGCTGAACTTACTCTGTGTGGTCAGATGGGCCGTGGCGAAATCGGTTGTGAAAAAAAAAACACGTCGTCAAGCTGCGTTACTGAATAATTTCACGAACAGGCTGTTTGTTTGTCCGGACTATTCAGATATGTGTACATGCGCGTTTAGTTGGCATGTGTATTCTGCTTTGGTGCAACGGTGTGGTGTCGGGTGCGATGTATGACGATGTGATTTTCCTCGGCGTGGTTACATGTCATCCGTCCCAGCATTTACCATTGTCGTCGTTACCAGTCCCACAAATGTCTTGGTGCGTCGTGTGGACGTCAGTATCACGATTGTCTCTGTGCGTCGTGTGGACGTCAGCATCACGACTGTCTCTGTGCGTCGTGTGGACGTCAGCATCACGATTGTCTCTGTGCGTCGTGTGGACGTCAGTGTCACGATTGTCTCTGTGCGTCGTGTGGACGTCAGTGTCACGATTGTCTCTGTGCGTCGTGTGGACGTCAGTGTCACGATTGTCTCTGTGTGTCGTGTGGACGTCAGCATCACGATTGTCTCTGTGCGTCGTGTGGACGTCAGCATCACGATTGTCTCTGTGCGTCGTGTGGACGTCAGTGTCACGATTGTCTCTGTGCGTCGTGTGGACGTCAGTGTCACTGATTGTCTCTGCTGCGTCGTGTGGACGTCAGCATCACGATTGTCTCTGTGCGTCGGGTAGATGCCAGTATCACGATTATCTCGATACGTTGTGTGGACTGTCGGTATCACGGTTGTCTCGGTGTGGTGTGGACGTATCAGGATTATCTCGATACGTTGTGCGGACGTCAGTATCACGGTTGTCTCGTCGTGTCGTGTGGACTCAGTGTTGTAGGGTTTCTGGTCAGGCGAAGCTGCCTTTTCCAACCGGCACATGATCCTCGAATCCCTCAATGCCCGCGTCGACTTCCTTTTGTGTCGCGTTTTGGCCACCACGGCGGTGTCAAGCTAAACAAGGGGATTTCCTGATTCGCCAGCACCGAAGTCACCGTGGCCTTGTGCCCCAAATCCCCGCTGTCAGCACTCGTCAAATGTCGTCAGTGGCGACACAACAGCCGCTGGTGTGGCGATGATAATGTTGGCTGTCCCTCCATCACGACTTAAGGCCTGTCAGTCGTGCCCTTCCACGTTTTTGACCATTGTCCGAGCTGGTCGGTGGTGTGATCGGCGGGTCAAAACGAGGCCTTCTTGACTTCCAGCTACGCGGCGTGCTGCGATTTCCTGCAGCAGAACAACCTGCTGTCCATCATCCGGGCGCACGAGGCGCAGGACGCCGGGTGAGTGTGCGCTCGCTCCGCTCTTGCTCCATCTCTCCCTCTCCCTCACCCTCTTCCTCTTTCTCTCCGTCTCGCGCCCATTTCGCTTCTTCTCTCCCTCTCCCTCACCCTCTTCCTCTTTCTCTCCGTCTCGCGCCCATTTCGCTTCTTCTCTCCCTTTTTCGCTCTCCTCTCGCTCCATACAGCTATCGCCCCATCTTTCGCTGCCGCTCCCATCTTTCGCTGCCGCTCCCTCTCGCTGACGCCTCGTTTCGCTCTCGCTCTCGCTCGCTCTCGCTCTCGCTCTCGCTCTCTCGCTCTCGCTCTCGCTCTCTCTCGCTCTCGCTCTCGCTCTCGCTCTCGCTCTCTCTCGCTCTCGCTCTCGCTCTCGCTCTCTCTCTCTCTCTCGCTCTCTCTCCCTCGCTCGCTCTCTCTCTCTCTCCCTCGCTCGCTCTCTCTCTCTCTCTCTCTCTCTCCTCTCTCCTCTCCTCTCTCTTCTTTCCTCTCTCTCTCTCTCTTCTCTTCTCTCTCTCTCTCTCTTCTCTCTCTCTCTCTCTCCTCTCTTCTCTCTCTCTCTCTCCTCTCCTCTCTCTCTCCTCTCTCTCTCTTCTCTCTCTCTCTCTCTCTCTCTCTCTCTCTCCTCTCTCTCTCTCTCTCTCTCTCTCTCTTCTCTCTCTCTCCTCTCTCTTCTCCTCTCTCTCTCCTCTCCCTCTCTCTCTCTTCTCTCTCTCTCTCCTCTCTCTCTCTCCTCTCTCCTCTCTCTCTCTCTCTCTCTCTCTCTCCTCTCCTCTCTCTCTCCTCTCTCTCTTCTTCTCTCTCTCTTCTCTCCTCTCTCTCGCTCCTCATCTCTATCTCTCTCTCTCTCTCTTCTCTCTCTACTCTCTCTCTCTCGCTCATCTATCTCTCTCTCTCTCTCTCTCTCTCTCTCTCTCTATCTCTCTCTCTCGCATCTCTCTGTCTCTCTCTCTCTCGCTCTCGCTCTCGCTCTGATCTCGCTCTCGCTCTCGCTCTCGACTCGCTATCGCTCTCCGCTCTCCTCTCTCTCTCTTCTCTCCTCTGCTCTCCTCTCTCTCTCCTCTCTCTCCTCTCTCAAGGCTCTCTCGGTCTCTCTCCTCCCTTTCACCCTCCCGTCCTCTCTCCCTAGGGTTGTCGCTCCCTTTCAGTCTTGTTCTCTCTCACGCTCTCGCTCCCTGTCGCTCCCTGGTGACCGCCTCTGCCGCTGTTTGTCCCTCCGGCTCTGGCTGTCCAGGTAATTACCTTCGGCTGCAAACGGAAGGTATGCACGCATCGTGTGCGCGTGGGTCCCGTACGGTGTCTCTCGAGTCCCAGGTGGCTGTTGTGACTCCGTCCATGCGACCTCGCTTGGCGTACAGGGATGGAACTTGCGGAAAAAGGCGTGGTCTCGTAGAACAGGTCTGTGATCAGGTCTTATGATAACTCCACACAAAAGTCAGCCCGTGTGCAAAGTCGAGTGTATTGGGAGGGTACGCCGCACTCTGAACAGTATGCAAGGTTCACCCCGAGGTTCCTTCAACCACAAACCCGGGAAGTGATTGTGTACCGTTGTTGCGGGTGCCAAACGCGCACATAAGTGCGGTTGCCCAATGCAGCCGGTTGTTTACGCACGCTCTGCAATCACCAGCAGAACCTGTCGCGCATTGCAGGTACCGAATGTACCGAAAGAGCCAGACAACTGGCTTTCCGTCCCTCATCACCATCTTCTCGGCGCCAAACTACCTGGACGTGTACAACAACAAGGTGGGTGGCACGGGCTCCTGCTCCTGCGTGCGCGTGGGGGGGGGGGGGGGGGGTGTCGGGGCGGACCGAGGGGAGCCGCGCATCCGTCGTCAGTTGCAAAGTGTCATGCCCCGCAGTCTTCGTGGTTTTGCGGGCGGCTACCGGATGTGCTTGTACCACGAAAAATCGGGGATTGCGTGTTTTGGAGCTCGTGAAACCCTTCCGCATTGGCTATGCACCAACTGGTGTGGTGAATTGCGCGTGCGGGCGGCCGTGGATGTGACGTGCAGCGCGAGCAGGGGCTGTTGTTTGTGGTGCTATTTACTGAGCGAGGTGACTGTGGGCGCTTGAGTCGCGCCATTGCCCAAATATCGAGTGTTCGTTTCCGCGCGAGAACATTCACGCTGCTCGCGCCAGAATTACCGCGCGAGAATCGATGGTGTGCCCGAACGCCGCGCCGCCTGGCGGTGCGCCCTCGGTGACTGAAGTGTCGGCGCTCACCGACAGGCTGCGGTGTTGAAGTACGAGAACAACGTGATGAACATCCGGCAGTTCAACTGCTCACCGCATCCGTACTGGCTGCCGAACTTCATGGATGTGTTCACGTGGTCACTGCCATTTGTCGGCGAGAAGGGTAGGCGGTTGGTTCTTACCTGGACTTTTACGCGGACTCTTACTCAGACTTTTACCCAGGCTCTTACCCAAAATCCTACCTGGACTCGTACCCAAAATATTACTTGGACTCTTACCTGGACTCTTATCCGGACCCACTGCGCGTCTGGGAAACCAGAGGTACGAGGTTCGATTCCCCGCGGTGCCCGCCCTTCCTGGCAGGGTGAGAGGCAGGCGACGCCATATAGCCTCAGCAGCCGAGTGCGTCGTAAAGCCCCAATGACACACACATACACTTATACGGACCTTCACTCGGACTTAAGCCCGGACTCTTTCCCGGACTCTTACCCGGACTCTTACCTGGACTCTTACCTGGACTCCTGTCCGGACCTTTCGCTCGGACTTTCACCCGGACTCCTACCTGTACTCTTACTCCCACAACGGACTATACCCCAGGACGTAGCTGTTGCCGCATGGTCCCAACAACAGACCAACGTCGCTATACTGCTTGTGGGGTCATTGATTGTGACTAGTGTGACTTGAGCAGCCAAGTGATACTTGTGTTTGCGTTCCATTGGCATGAGTGAGGAATATGCTTTTTGAACTGGTCGTGAGTGGATTTTCCAGGTGTGAAAACAAATGGATCATTTGTATTGAGCCAAATGCGTGACGTGGTTGGCGAAGACGATGTTTGGCATGTGTTCCACGGAGCGTGCTAATCATCTCAAGGCTATTGCGTCGGTATGTTCATTAGCTGCCAGCGAGGTTTTGTTTTCGCATGCATGCCATTGGAATCATTTTCTATTCTGAAAGTTGAACTTCCGGGAAAGTAGAAAAATATTGCGCTCTAACGTGAAGAAAACATACTTAATCTGCGTTTTGGCCGTGAAAGATGATGACCCATTCACCTTGTTGAAACACCCTTTAACCTTCGTCGGTCACACTAAATGAATTGCAGCGTTTGTTTTGGCGTTAAGGTCGCGTTCACTGTGTTTGTTTGGTGCCACGAGTCTCGTTAACTGCAGGGCATCCGTTTCACCCATGGCGGAGCAGAGGCGCACCAAGGGCAGCAAGTAGGGGAGGGCACACGGTCCCGCACTTCACCCGTTATTCTTGCCGGAAATCACCCGTGGAATACCGCGTGGGCATTAAACTGTGCCATGTCACTGCTTTCCATGGGTTATCATGATCAATGTCAGTTGTCAGTCACTTCGTTCCCCGTGTTGTCGCAATCATTGTCGGTTGAATGCCCCCCCCCTCCCCTCTCCCTGCCCTTCCCCACCCCTATCCTCCTGCCCTTTCGTGCGATTCTACCGTCGCCCAAGTTGTACAATATGTGGATGACGACTGGTTGCTTCGACCACGTGACCATCTGTGATGCCGCCGGCGGCGTATCCCTCTCCCGCCCTCTCCCCGTGCCCTAAAATGCGAGCTAAATAACCGGTGTTGTGCTAAATGGAGCCATCGATGTTCGTCGGTGATCTTGGACGTGAAGCCACGGCTGGCGATGTCGGTTTTTTTTCTGGTGGAGTTCATTTTGTCGGTGATATGTATTTCCACCTGTTGACGCATGGTTGTAGCGTCCTGTCTAGTGGGGAGGTGATGAAGCTACCCGCACCCGCCGCAACTAGTTTTGCGAATCTACGTCCCTGTGTTGACGGCATCGCCGAAGATGTGCTGTTCTGGCGACCCCCCCCCCCCCCCCCCTCCCGCTCCCCGCGGCGTTCAGTTTTCTGTCTCACCCGCAGTCACTGAGATGCTGGTGAACCTGTTGAACATCTGCTCTGACGACGAGCTGATGTCGGAGGGCGAGGAGACGTTCGAGGACGGTGAGTGCGTCAGCATCGTCGTCATCATCAGCATCGTTACCACCACATCTGTGACCATCATCATCACCATCACCATCACCAGCGTCATTGCCGAGTGCATTATCAGTGTTGAATGATCGATCTCAGATGAGATGGCATGTTTCTCTGGATGGCGATGCCCGAAACAAGGTTACTCCTGTGTCATTGAAGGGAGACCTTACATTTGTCTGGAAGGGAGCTTGGCCGGAATCTCTGGCATGGTGGACCACAGACCAGTCTGTAAGAACGCGTCCATTCCATGGGTATATCTGTGAGGAAGCACCAGCACACACACTATGGGTGTACCTGTGAGGACACGCCCACTCTATGGGTGTACCTGTGAGGACACGCCCACTCTATGGGTATACCTGTGAGGACACGCCCACTCTATGGGTGTACCTGTGAGGACACGCCCATTATATGGCTGTATCTGTAGGGACACGCCCATTCTATGGGTGTGCATGTGAGGACACACCCACTTTATCGCTGTACCTGTGATGACACGCCCTGTGTGTGGGTGTATGTGAGAACACGCCCACTCTGGGGGTGTATCTGTGAGGACACGACTTCTCTTTGGGCGTATCTGTGAGGACAGTGACTGTCCTTTGAGTGTATCTTTGTGGACAGAGACTGTTCTCTGACTGTATCTGTGAGGACGCGCCCACTCTGGGTGTATCTGTGAGGACAGTGACTGTTCTTTGAGTGTACTTGTGAGGACACGCCCACTCTACGGGTGTGTCTGTGAGGACACGACTTCTCTTTGGGTGTGCCTGTGAGGGCACGCCCGCTGTACGGGTGTGTGCGTGAGGACAGTGACTGTTTTCCGAGTGTACCTGTGAGGGCACGCTCACCGTACGGGCGTATACGTGAGGATAGTGACTGTTTTCCGAGTGTACCTGCGAGAACGGTGTCTGCCACGACTTCTCTCTGGGTATAGATAAGCAGTACACAGACCGTCTGGTGGCCAGTCTGGCCGCTGACGTCCCGGGCGACAGTGGTGAGTCGCGTGTGACCCTCACCCTCACCCCTGACCGCCCCCTCCCCCCGGCCCCGCTCCATCTCCGTCCCCACGCGTTTCCCAGCGCTAACGCATCCTCCAACCACATCCGCACCCGCACCCGATGGCGGCTGCCTCTACCCCCCCCCCCCCCCCCCCCCCTGCTTTGAGCCAAGTCCTCACCCCGCCGGCGTGGTACGACGTGTCCTCGCCCATCCCTTCACTAGAAGTCTTGTCTGTGCCGCTTTCCATGCTCTGGGAACACACTGTCACTTCCGTAACTGGCCTGTGAACGGGTCCCCGCGCCCCTCGCTCCCCATGACTCCCGGTCCTCCTCTCCCACGGCGGCCGGCACGAATCCCACACACAACACGACACACGGGACTTCCGAGCTCATGAACTGCTTCACGCTACCTTGGCAGCGTCTCCCACTTCCAGACGCCGTCCATGGGCTGCAACTGAGTAAAGTACCAAGCTCGCGTTGGTGCTAGAGCTTGGTACCAAAGTACCAAGCTCGCGTTGGTACTTTGCCAATGCGGAAGGCGGCCTGGGTGTTCTTAAAGGCAGTCGGCCCCAGACTGTGCCTGACAAGGCACTGACTGTAGACAATCACCCGGATTGTCCTCGATCTGTGCCACACTGCTGCCAGCCGGTGACGCGCCGAACGCACCTGGAGCACCGCCCTTTCTCTCTTTTCTTCGCTCCCCCTCCCTCTCTCCCTACCCCCTGCCACCGCCTCCTACCCCCTACCCCCTCTCCCAAACGCCGGCGGACTGGGCGATGCCGGTCTTCCGTTCGGGGGGAAGCCATCACGTGACCGCCGTCCCGCGACGCTGCGACAGCACGGGGCCGGTCACGTGACCGGGGGCTTCGCCGCCGCTACTAACAAGCGGCCAGAGGCGTGTCCAGGGATGGTCACAGCGACAAAAACATGATCATAACAATATAATGAGTATAATGATAAAATGCTTATAATGGTATAGTGATCAAAATGATAATGAACATTACGAGCGTCCCACCTCACCACCCGAACCGAGGTGCGGGCAGCCAGTGACACCAAGTCAAACCCATACTGAGAGGTGTCGCGTGAGCACGAGGGTCAGGCTCGAGTGTCGTGACCCGGCCTCTGGACGCGCCTCTGCAGCCGCCAACAGCTGGGGTGTGCCGTGGAGTGCTGACCGGGCGCCGACGGGACAGCGGCCGGCTCTGTGGCGTTGCCGTGGAGATGCGGTGCTAACTTGCGCAGCAGCGGCGGGTCCTAGTGGTGGAGTCTGGATCCCCGAGGCTGGATGCCTTATGTGGATGTTGGATACCGATGGTGGATCCTGGGCTCTCAGCGTGGATCTGGATCCCGAGGGTGGAGCACTTTTCGAGGATAGGTTCTGGATCGTAAGGTTGTCTGTTTGGTCCCAGGATGCATCCCGGATCCCGTAAGATACCTCAAAAGGGGGTCCCGGATGCTGGTATCCACTTCGCAGGTAGCCAGGACATACGCGTGTCCGGTGTCGGATATCAACGCAGCGTGTCGACGACCGGTACCCCACACGGTCTTTCCGCGCCACAATATTTGTTTTCGCGCGTGCATACAAGACTGCAGAATCACTGGACCGTCTGGGAGAAGCTGTTTTGGAATTAGAGAAATGTGGCGGCTTTCGACGTCACTGTCATTATTACTGGGCTCAATGCTTCTGTATTGGATGTCTTTGAATTCGGCGTTAGGTGAACCACAAGGAATGCCAACTGAACTGACCTATGGGCAATCATTGGGAAACAACAGAAAGGAAATTTGTTGCGCATCTGCAATTTTTGGTGTTATTTTTGGTGTTGTTGAACAGCAAAGGAACACTAGAATCTGCAGTTCGTACTTTTCAAGCAGGCTCGCGCTACTTCCATGAAAAAGCTTATGATCCGTGAAAAGTCATGGTCACCCTCACCTTTCGAGCCCACGCGTACGTTTTCGCCTCAGATTATAGTGGCCCAACTTGCGACGTGCCGCGGGCGTCGCCGCCTCGGCCGTTTCTTCTGCTACAGTGCGCGCGCGCGTGTGTGTGTGGCTTCGGTGGCGATGTCGCTGCACAGGGGCGGCGCCAGCTGGCGAGAATTGGGGGCGGTGTCTTGAGCTTTGCCATTCCCGTTCAATGTCGCAGCGTAAAGCAGCGTATTGCCACGCAAATTTCGCGAGCATTTGGGAAGAGCGTAACGTCAGGCACGTAACGCTAACTTCCAACAACATTTGGGGGGGCTCGCCTGCCCCCGCTCGCCCAATCGGTGGCGCCGCCCCTGTCCGCGCTCCCCCTGCTTGGTCAGCCTCTGACGCCGTGCCTTCGTTTCCATACTCTGCTCTCGCTCCGACCGTTGCTTCTCTTGTTGCAGACCCAGGCAAGTGTTGATGTTGCTCGCCGCTTGTGTAGCCAGGCGCGCACCCAGGACGCGTCTTGGGGAGGGGGGCCACAGGAGGCCGACTAACGGCGTTCGAAATGGTCTCGCATCTAAACAGTTTTGCAGCAAACTTAGTCGTTTCGGGAAAAACTATCTCACTTTTATAAATGATGTAAGAGTCGGAAGGAAAAAATTAAGTTTTTTTTAAAATCGCAGCTGTATCCCCCCTCCCTGACCCGCCTGGGTGCGCCTATATGTATAGTCCTCTATTAGAATGGCCGTACTCCCCAACGCTTGCCGACCTTCGTCATGTCTTTCGCGCGCCTCTGCCGTGTGGGATGTGCTCATGGGGGCGGGTGGAGTGCCAGGCAAATTTTGGACCAAATTTTGGACCCTTTGGAGTGATTGACATTTCACCACACGAATGTCGATTTGTGACAGGCAGAGCTGGTTTTTTCCCGGTGAACTGGGTCTACCCCCAATGGTGCGAAGGTTAGCTCTAACCTGACCTTTCGGAAGTTGATTATTGGCTCAGCTAGTAATCCGGGCCAGCCTGTTTGCCGTTCGGTGAATACGTTCAGTCTCCAAACCCTGACACGTTATGTGTCATCTATGCACTCTGGTACGGGAAGCAGAGGGGTGCGTGAATGGCCTGTTGTAGGAGCAACCGCAGCTTGCGCGCTGTCTGGCCAAACCGGACTGGGTGGCTTGCGTTCGTTCCAGCCGACACTGAACGTAATAACGACTATGCCGAGTCTAGCCAAAAAAAAGACAACAGCAATAAGACCGCATAAGGTTGTCATCCAGCCAAAGAGAAGCAACTACCTTGCATCTGGACAGAATCTGATTTTGGACCAGCGTGATGATTTCGGGCTGTGTTGTAAAGTGGAGTGAGATGCAGGCCGAGGCAGTCATAGGCAGAATCACGTCGAATGGGGCTCGGAACGGACGAATCACGCACTGGCACTGGTCTGGGGTCAAACCCGCCCCCTCCCCTGCCCGCTGCATGAAGCGGGCGTGTTCGAAGCGACCAATCATCGCCGGCGTTTTCCGTGAACTCGCGCTGTGATTGGCCCGCCGATCCGCGCCTGGGTCGCGATTGGTCACAAGTCCGGCTGGTGCGTCGCTTCGAGCACGCTGTTGAACAGCATGCGTACCTAGCCTCATGCGACCTCGCAACTACCGTGCAACCTTGCTTCGTGCGAAGACGCAGCTTATTTCCCGACCAATGGGTGTCGTCACGCGGTGACGTCACTCGTCATGTGCCGGATAACCGCATTTTAGCCTGCAGGCGCATAGCAACAGTCCCTGCGGCGGCGGCGGCGATGGCCGTAACCCCGCCAGATCGCGTTGACCTAGGTAGCGTGCCCCCGTGACCCCACTAGCTACCCGCGTCCTTGTGCCCGTGACAGCATGTTCGAGAGCGTACCGGTGCGATGCACTGAGCACAGGGCGAGGGATGTGGATGTGACCTCCGTGACCCAGCAAGGTCATGACAGCCCACGTGGTATCGTCCGCCGGCGTCACAAGAATTGGAACGCTCTGGGTGGTGTGGATGGCCCTCCGTCTGGACACGGGCTGTCCAGTCTCTGACATCGGGTCTGGCTTGTGGACGACCGCCGCGTCGCGGACCACCGTGTGGTGTTTGGTGTGGGGCGGGGGGGGGGGGGGGTCAGCAGAGACGCAGGACCCCGTGGCTTGCTAGTGTGCTCGTGCAATTAACTGGATAGATTGCACCAGCTAACACGCATGCTTGTAGTGTGCCGCAAGGGTAGTGGCGTTAAAAGTAGCGGTCATGTACGTGCTGTGCCGAAAAGTATGGGTACAGAATTTAGCCCGTGCCCCCCTGCGTTTAATTGACGTATTTCTCACAGAATGTCGCTGGTCATTCTCGTAAAAGCATCAGTTTCAAGAGTTTCCCTTAAGCTATCGCTCCCACCGTAATGAGTGTGTTCACGGGTGCAGTCACTTGATTGTGTCATAGAAGGCTTTCTTGCCCTTAAATAAGAATATGCAGTTCGCTGTCCCTGCCCCCCCCCCCCCCCCCCCACCGTCCACCCCTCAACTTCCTATTACGTGCAAGGGTCGTTGTTACGGCGGTACCTGGGTTGGTGCTGTCTATGCCGCTTTGGTTCTGGATATGGGAGCTTTGGTTCGGTTCATAGCAAATCGAAGCACCTTGATAGGTGCATTCGTTCGCATCTCCTCACTGGAGGCACTCGCCGTGAGTGATGCGCATGCTAACCTTTGCCCGCGGGTGTTTCAGAGCGTGCGGCGGCCCTCAGGAAGGAGGTGATCCGGAACAAGATCCGAGCCATCGGCAAGATGGCGCGTGTCTTCTCTGTCCTGAGGTCAGTGAGCGGGGTCAGGTCGGGTCAGGTCAGGTCAGACCACGGTCCGGTGTCATGAAATGAAAGCAGATGTACGGGCGTTTAGGTTTGGGAGTGCGGGAGCGTAGTCAGGCTTGCCATTGTTATCACAATTTTGTAACTTCCGTATCCGCGTTTGTGAGATTGTGTACTCTTTATACTTGTACTTCATGTTTATTGGATCCCTTTGTTCGTGTCTGGTATTTCCTCTGCTAAGATACTGCTGACAAATGGACGTGTCTTCGACTCGCATGCAGTGGCACGTGTGAGCATCTCTGTCTTCTGGCTTCATTCTGCCTGAGGGTTAGCTCATTATTCGCCAGCTTTCAGCTCAGCTGGAGTCGGGTTTTGTTCAGGGTTCATGTGCGGACGCCAGCAATTTTAGTCTTGTTTGGAGAACTGATGACGTGACATCGCGGGGACATCACGTGACATAACAAATGCGCGCGTGACGTCACGGATTTTCGCGCACACGCTCTCAATTTCAAACGCCATGCCACACCGCCACGGGGTGTCACATGTCGTGGAACACGGTCATGGAACGCACCGCCTAGCTCTCGGCCAGGCGCGTAGTTGCAAGGGAGGCCAGAACGCCCCCTTCAGCCTGTGGCGTAGTTGCCAGCGGCGCCAGGATGCTGCCTCGGCCAAGGGCGTAGTTGCCTATTCTGTTGTGGGCTTGAGCCCCCCCCCCCCCCTCCCCTCCCCCAGCTTTAAGAAGAAATTGGCCAAATCCAGGGAGAAACCCGTTTGTTGGAGGCTTTCGGGACTACGTTTTGGTGCTCTTCACTGCTCCGTCCGCGCCCCCAGCCCATTGTGCGAAGCTGCGCCCCTTCTACCGCCGGCGCTCCGCTGGAACGCGCCGTCTGGGCGACACGTCGCGCGCGGCTGCCAGCGAGGGCTGACGAGGCCATCCGGGCAGGATGCCTTGTTGCTTCAGTGGTCCGCGGCATTATCTTTGGCGTTATCGTTGGCACGGGCCGGCGCCGCAGAAATGCCCCGAGGCGATCAGAGCAGCAGGCTGTGTGGTGAGAGGCGGGCAGCTGGCGCCGGGCGCAGGGGGGCGGGGCCCGGAGGTGCGCGCCGGCGCTGTCGCCGAAGCGGATGCGGCCGGCAGGGAGCGGTTCTAAGTGGGGTTTGTCGCCCGCCGCGGGAGGGGAGGCGTCGGCGCTGGGCGGTTGTCGGGTGTTTGTGGGAGAGGGAGGTATTCGGAAACTGGGCGTATTCTTTCCTGGATTCGTATTGATGACAGAGCTTGGCTAGTGGACTCCAGTCTCTAAGTCTCTTGTAGATAAGTTATAATTTCTAGTTTATGTTATAATTTCAAGTTTTGGTTTGAGTTACATTAGGTCTCGTTTAAGTTAAAATTTTAAATGATAATCATTATTTGTTGTCTTAGTTATAATTGCTGCTCACGTGACATCACTGCACTTGCCGAACCGATGCAATTATTGTTTTGCGTTCGGCACTATTTTCTGCCAAACCATGCGACGAAGCGCCTTCACGTGACCCACGGTCACTAAGATGGCCGCCCAAGATGGCCGCCATACGCATCACAGCAAGAGCCGCCCGACGATATGCTGCGTACACATTCGTCTACGAAGATGAGCCGTGTTACGTGCATTTGGATTGCGACGGTTTTATGGGAGACGTACGGGATTGCAGGGATTGTCGTCGGCGTCTAGAGAGTTGTTGGGGATTGCTCTCGGTGTGTGCTTCGAGAGGATTTCTTTCGCCGTTGGATATGGTAGGGGATTTCCTTCGGTGTAGGAGATTACGGTTGATTTCCCTCAGCGTAGTAGATGGATGTGAATTTCCTTCGGCGTCGGGGATTGTAGAGGATTTCCCTCGGCGTAGTGGGTTGCCGGACGCCCGCTGACCGCCGCGCCGTCCGCCGGCAGGGAGGAGAACGAGAGTGTGCTGCAGCTGAAGGGCCTGACGCCGACCGGCGCGCTGCCGCTGGGCGCCCTCTCCGGCGGCAAGGTGACGCTGCGCAGCGCCCTGCAAGGCTTCTCGCCCAACCACAAGATCGCCTCGTTCGAGGAGGCCAAGGGTCTGGACGCCATGAACGAGCGCATGCCGCCCAGGAAGGACGCCCCGGCGCCGGCGGGCCGGGAGAAGCACGGCACCAACAACCACACGTGAACGCCCGGCCAGCCTGCCAGGTGTGCCTCCTGTGGTTGTTGGGAGGAGGGGGAGTTTGAGCGGCTTGTGCGTGGTGGACGGAGTAAGTGTGTGCAAGGCATTTGCGGTTGGTGTGGGGGAGTTGTTGGGTTTTTAGGAGGGTGGAACGGGAGAAGGGATTTTGTGTAGCGTACAGGGCATTTGTATCGTGGGATTGGGTAACTTGAAAGGGCTTTCGTGAGCTGGAACTAATGAGAAAAGATTTGGTGGGGAAGGCTCATGCACTGCACACCTACTACTCTACACAGTAGCCCTGCTGGTGACTGTGTAGTGTGGCATCCCTGTGGCCATGTGTGACTTAAGCGCTCTGAATTATCCGGGCTGGGCATCAGGGAGAGTGCTCATCGGACGCTCAGTTTTGTAAATAAAACGCAACACACTCGCACCACGTTGAGAGAGGGGCCAGGAAAGCACCGGTTTCAGTTGTCGTGCGGAGAGTCCTCGGGACGAGCGGGTCTGGAGGAGAGTCCTCGGGACGAGCGGGTCTGGAGGAGAGTCCTCGGGACGAGCGGGTCTGGAGGAGAGCCCTCGGGACGAGCGGGTCTGGAGGAGAGCCCTTGGGATGCGCGGGTCTGGATCCGGGTTTGGTTGGGCTCAATCAATCTGCTCCTAACTGAATCAGGACGGGTTGGTGGCTAAAACCCCCAGTTCGTGTATGGATGGTCCCGGCTGTGGACCCGGTTGCGTTCTGCCCCCCCCCCCCCCTTCCCCCCGGGGTGTCAGTACGGCCTTTGCAGCCGTTATTGTTCCGTGGCAGGGTTGTTGGTCACCTAAAACTAAGATGGTTAGCCGCGCTGCTGGCAGACCTGCGATGCATCTGAGACGTTTCGTTAAGTTGGGAGCTGCTGGAAACGTATACGAACATGTTTGGCGTTGCAGCTTTGTGGCAATCGACGGTTTCAGCCATTTGGGAATCACGTCAACGTTGTGGATAAGTGTCCTGCTAAAAGGAAATTATGTGGGTAAATTCACATTCCATTTTGATACCTGTGCAGAGGAACATGCGCGTCTGACAGGACTGCCGATTTTCAGAGCGACCGAAGACGCGTGGCGCCCCCTGGTGGAGACTGCACGCACCGCTGGTACGGCACGCCGCCGACAGGCGTCGCCGTGCTCGTCCCGTCCGCGCCCCCGCCCCTCCCCCGGTCTAGACGTGTGCTGCACCCCCCACCCCACCCCACCCCGCCCCTCCCCCTGCGCCTGCCTTGTCAGTGTTTCGGCCCTTTCATTCACATTCGGCTGCGGGCCGGGCTGGTGAGGCGCGAGAGCAAGAGCGTGAGGTATATGTGAGGCGCGGATGGTTTTCGGTCTGTGGAGTGCGGCCGCCTGGCGGGGGGTTTCGACTTATCGGTGTAGTTATCGCTATCCGTTTGACTGTGCAGTGCGAACGGCGCGCCGCCCGCGCGCGGCGCGCGCCTTCGCCAGTGCCATCTATAGTGTGATCGTGGAGTTTGTAATTACCGGCCGTGCCGCTGCGTGGCCACGTTTCTATCGTTAATTTCATTGGGTGATACATACGTATATTATAGTGCTGCATGTGCATACCTGTATATTACCCTCCTCTGCCTGCGCGGCATTCGCCGCGGCGTCGCCCGTGGCCCGCTGCTGCCACCCGGCGGCCCGTCTGCAAGTTTTAATACGCCTCTTCGCCGAGAGACGGCCTTCACGCGTGCGTGTGCATGATCCAGCCACCGTCTTTGGCCGACGAACCGGCCGCGGTGCGTCGCTGAGGACACAGCCCTGCACGGGTCCGCGCGAGCCGAGGGGCCCAACGGGACCGCGCCGCCGCCGCCGCGTGTATATACAATCAGGGTCTCGTCCCCGGCGCCGCGGCCGTGTACAGTTAACGTTGTTGACTTTGCGATCGACCGGCCGACAGCGACCCGCCGACCCGCCGCGCTTTGCCGCCGTTGGCGCACGGTTGCCATGGCGACGACTCGTGCGGCCTCCCGCTTGTTGATTTCGTCGGTTAAAATCTGTATAATTTTATCGCGATGTCATTTACCCAGCGAGGGCGGATGCGCCGGGGCGGTCATTTTTCACCGGTTATGTCGTGCGTACCATTATTGTGAGATGCGTTTTGAGCGTGTCGACGTGCTCTTTCCGCATGCCTAACTTAAGGCCGCTCCTTCTGCCGTGAACGCAATCTCACAGCTACATTGTCCCCACTGGTTCTGACGAAATTTCCCGCATCTGACGGTTTTCGGCGGGTGTCTCCAGATCTGGCAGCGCTGTACTTGATTCGGTGCGGCTGTGGTGAGAGAGCTGCCTGTGCCAGCTGGCCCCGTACCTGGTCTAGCATTCGCTTTTGTTCGATTCCATATTGTAAATGTTGTTTCAATATTACAGGTTTCAATAAAGACCGGTTGGTTGACGCACGTGTGTGGCGGCAGCGGGAAGTCGGAGACGCTGCTCGTCTCGTATCGTCCGCATGGTTCCGCGATGGAGGAAATGGGGAGCGGGACGCTGCGTGACCTGGTCAATTATTAGCATTGTACTTCCAATGGCCATTACGGTTGGAACGAAGCCAGAACGGTGCTTGGAAGCTCGCAGGCGGTGGCAGGTTGGGCGGAATGGAAACAGACTGATGGGTATGGCGAGGAAACGTACTTAACGTGGTGAAATCACTGCTCATTGGGGTGCAGACAATTGCTCCGTGGGCTGTGGTCTCTTCGTTTACGGCTGTGGAAGGTGAAGTTAATATCTAGGCCGAGTAAGACAGACAGACAGACAGCACTGTTGTGTTCCTTGCGTCTACGGCTGCCGATCGGCTTCTGTACTGTAAGGCCATTTTACTTGATAGCCAAACAGCTAGAGGCTTTCTTTAGTCCCCTTTCTTCAAGACTTTGGTTGAAACCGATTGGGACTGTCCATAAATAATGTAGCGTATATTTAGTAAGCTTCAACACCCATCCCCCGTCCTTTTCCATTGTTACACAGGTTACCGAGTTCACACCATGTCGTTAGGTCTGCAAACTATCACCATCAGTGGCGAACATAATTTTTGGGCGGTCCAGTACGGTATTCGTTTGTTGTAACTTCAGAGAATGCTCATCGTCCTTTTCACATTGTCACGAAATGAATTCTACTTTTTAATTCGGCTATTGCAGCCTTCGAATAATGTGCATCTGTCCAGTCGCTATTCGTCAAGGTCGTATTTTGACTTAATGGGATTTGTTTAATTATCCATTCGGCGACCTTTAATTTGCACAATTGGCATTAGCCCAAATCATATTTCGGGATAATGGCATTCATCTTTTGGGTTCACCAATGGCATTCATCTTTTCAACACTTTTGCTGATTACCTGTCGGCTAATTAGCATTTTAGCTTATTTGCATGTCGAAATTTGCACGTCGTCAAAAAGGCATGTCAACGTAGATTTCGCCCTTCCGTCGCTTAACTATATAACATGACAAATACAATTGGGTTTATACATTCGGCAAAATAGTATTTGGTTAATCAAAATTAAGCAGTTGGCCCTGGAAACCCAAGCTATAACATTGCCGGTGAAGTTTGGCACTGGGATTGTGCAGCAGTGGGCAATAAATACATTTCCATCTGCTTGACTAAATTGGTGTTGGAACGAATCGAGTCAGATAATCTATGGTGGACAGGATCATACCAGGCCACGAGCAGAGGTCGTGTAAGGCGAATTGATTGGTGATCAATCCTACGTGATTGATAATTATTTGTGATGATGATTGTGATTATGGTGCTTAATCGTGCTAAATAAGTTGATACAACCAACACGTTTTCAGTCGCGCGCAAGGATCCATGCAAAACGCGGGATGAGGTAACCTACATCCAAGAAGTAACTTGATCTCAATCTGACATGACCCAACCAGCCCTCTTTGTCAATATGATAACATGCCTGTAAAATGTAAAGATGCGCTCTGGCGTTTGGTTCCGACGAAAAACCTTAATTAATACCATTGTCAATTATGTCAAAAAGCACAGTTGCACTAAATGTACCATAAAGGACTAAACTTACCCAAAAGCTTTAAATCTACCAAAAAACACTAAATATACACAAAGGGCCCTAAATCTACCCTTGTCCCACCCCGTATTGTCGCTGAACTATGCCGGAATCACTCAGCAAATCAGGCGTGAAGGCGAAATATGTCTCTCAACGTGTGTTTGAGATGCGATATTCGCTTCATAATTTAGTGTTCATCAGTACCCCTCTTTTTCTTGCGTTGTATAAGACTTCCGTTCTGGTACTTTGCCGTCTGATAAGCGCACTTTTGGGTGCTGAAGTCATTTCCTTCCAGTTTAAATTCGAAGTTGTACCGAGTGACCTCGCCCAGATTGAGCGCGCCGTCTGGTTTTGCACAATGTGTAATGTTTGTCCATGCGGTGGCTGCTTTAGCACAAAATTCATTTAAGCCTTCCCGCCTTGTGGCTGGATTATCGATACTACAGTGACGACATTTTTTGCCATCAACTTTAAGATCAGGTGGGATAACGTCTTTCCACCTACTAGCACTCTCGGGGTTTCAAAACTGTTTGGCCCAAGGAATTATAATGTGGTCTGTCTGTGTGCCTAAACATTTTGTATTGCACTTATATGAATTTTTCCTGATTTGTGTAACAAATTAAGTGAGAGATTATTGCTTCTCTTTTATACAGGTGGGACGATTTTTACTTTTCCAGGTTTGACATCGTGCATGTCAGTTGCGGCAGCGATTTGTAACGCTTCGTTAACTTGGTAGCTGCCGTCCTGCGTTCCCCTTCCGAGAAAAGAAACTCCGATATTCTTCTGCCTTGAGCCTTCTATTAACGACGTGCCTCCTCCAACGCTGACCAGCGCGAACTCCCCCGCGAAAACTCGCCGGACACCCACATCACCTCGGACAGCTCTGCAGACCTCCGCGGAAAGCCACGCGCTCGCCTATTGGCCAACACTTTCCCGTTTCGTCTGCCGACCCTGAAACCAGCTGTTCACAAAACCTGAGGCATAAGTGGTGCACAACAAACTACATCGTCTACCGCACATCACAAACAGCTGACCTCGTTCTTCGTCGATAATGCACCTCACCTAAACGCTAAGCTTGGTCCTAACATCCCCTCTAACCTTAAACTAGACGTAGGGTACGAAAAATAACCTCACTTGGTACAGTACTCTAACCTTCGACTTCACAGTTCACAAGGTCACTGCACATCACAAAAGCACGATCATCAGGCTTCCACAAATCAGCACAATCCCCACGTTAGGTGAAATAGCCCTGTAACCCACGACTCTTATCACGTATAGGTCCCTGACTAGTCGAGGTACCGCCTCGGTCGTCGCATCTCACGACCGCGTCTCGTCCGCGTTGACCCGGTTACCACCGGCATCGCCTCTTCCGCCGACTCCGTACCAGAGGGCGCCACCAACGCTTCACCGTCAGCTCCAGAGGGCACCACCTGACACAGCGACTTCTGTGCTAGCGGCTTCGGTGTCGCCGCTTGCTGGCCTCGTTCCACTCCGCCCCGGGCGTTCATCGACTTCCTGCGACCATCCGCTTCTCAAGCGCGCTACTAGGCGCTGATGTCTCGTCGACCGTCACGTCTCCGGCCGTCACCGCGACCGGCTCCAACTGCTCTGTCTGGCTGAGCTCTGCATCGTCCGCTTCTCGTTCCCGCTGCTCCGTCTGGCTGAGCTCTGCATCGTCTGCTTCTCGTTCCAACTGCTCCGTCTGGCTGAGATCTGCGTCGTCCGCTTCTCCTTCCAGCTGCTCCCCGCTCTCCGGCGCTGGATCCTGGATAAAAATGAGTCCATCCGCTTTAATAGCCTCGGTCCCTGCCTCTCTTCGGCCGCCTTCGAAGGTCGTCGTTGCGGTCACCTCTGTCTCCCAGGTGAGGTCCTCCGCTCCGTTCTCTCCAGTATAGCTCAGTCCAGTGTCGATGCAGTCAGTTCCAGTTTCGATCTCCACCACGGCCACTTCTCTCTCCGATCTGGGCTTCCCCTTTTTCAGATGTCCGCCGTGTACGAGCCGTTGTCTCCGCCCCTTCTTCAGCAAGTAATCCGGCGGTCGGGCCTCTAGCACGAGATACGGCCCCTCGAACTTTGGCTTCAGTTTTGCGGTCACACCTTTTCCTGCTGTGAAGTTACGACACCACACTGTGTCGCCTGGCTGAGAGGTTGCCGGTCCTGTCTCCGTGCGAAGACTTTGCTTTCGCTGGACCAGGTCCAACGCCTTCTGATGCGCGTTTTTCAGATGATTTCTCAGCTTCACCAAGAACTGGCGATGAGACTGATTCTTGATGCTGTCCACGTCGAATTCGTCTTCCAGAACATTTCGCATTGGTCTCCCGTAGACCAGTTCTCCCGGTGAGAATCCTGTCGCACTGTGGCAACCAGAGTTGTAAGCAGATGTCACCACCGGCAGCCACAGGTCCCAGTCTCGTTGGTTATCAGTCACGTAGTGAGTCAGAAGTTCCAGTAACGACCTGTTGATTCGCTCCACTTGCCCGTTGCAGCATGGATGGTAGATTGTCGTTCTCAACTTCTTCCCGCCCAGCAGTTGGCAGACTCCTTTGATCAGGGCACTCTCGAAGTTCCGCCCCTGATCGGTCAACAGAGTCTTCATGACGCCAAACCGGCAGATGACTTGTACGACACATCGCGCCACTTCTTCTGCAGTCTGTCTCTTCAATGCAAATGTTTCTACCCATTTGCTGAATTGGTCAGTCATGACCAAAACGTACTTGTGACCATGGTCGCTTTCCAGTAGTTCTAAGATGTCCGCTGACCAGTGAAAAAACGGCTCGCCTTCTACCGGTATGGTTCCTCTTCCTTCCTTACAACCTGCATACTTCGGTTTCGTCCTCAGACAAGAACTGCAGCTTCCACAGTACCGCCTTACCTCGCGCTGTACGTTGTACCAGAAGAAACCGGCTGTCACACGGTGCAGTGTTCGCCTCACGCCTCCATGTCCTGACATCGGGACGTCATGAGCCAGATGCAGCGCTCTTTGTCTGATCCTTGTCGGCAGGATCACTTGTGCAGGATCACTTGATGTCCCTTCGAATTCCGCAGGACCATGCCGTTGTATAGCCGCAAGCCCGGCAGTCCGGCGTAGAAGTTCAGCTCTGCTTGCTGGGTGTCTGTCAAATTGTCCGTCTTCATTGGCTGCTTTTTCAGGTGGCAGATAAGCTGGCACAGCACAGGATCTGTCCGTGTCGCTGTAGCCAGGTCATCGAGATGGTTGATGTCCAGGACGTCTTCTGTAGCATCGCCGCCGTTCTCGCCTTCCATGGATAGCTCTTGCGCGTCGACGACTGTTGAGCGGTGCAGCCTCACAACTGGAGTCACTCTCAAGCCTTCCTCTGGTACAAACTCCGCCGCAGTCGGTCGCAGCTGGTGCTTCCTCGTGTCTGTCTCGAACCTGC